TTCAAAAGATACTATATTGTATGTGTGTGTGTATATATCCAAGACTTTTATGAGACAGCAACAGGAAATGCATGGCAATGGTCTGGGGGCTGGGTCCCTCCCAAAAAGTGGGAACGTAAGTTTCTTTAAATGGAGCAGGTCGTCGAAAGAATGTGCAAGTTTGAAATGGAAATGATGAAGAATCAAGCTGAAGATAAAGAATTTCAAAGGTATCTTAAGAAGATATTTTAATAGATATTCTATTATTACTAATAATCTTAAGGGAGGGGGTCTAAAAAGAAATGATTAGTTTACATTCCTTTCATTTTAAACTCTTATAAATACATATTTAATGATTCTACTTTTATAAACTTTCTTTATTTACTAAAAATCTAACTTCCTGCGATTACCAATCCATTGGAAACCCAATAAAGCCATTAATATGATTGATTTTGAATCCATTTTGCACACTCACTCGCTGTAAATTTGTTTGTGGCAAGGACCTGTTGTTCTACGGACACATTTGACTCCATATCCTGGCAATTTGGCCCCGATTTCATGCTCTTTGTGGTTGCTACTTCTACTTCTACTATATATATATAGTTTTTTTCTGCAACTCGTGCATAGTTCACTGAGGCTGGTGTCCTTCTTTGGCAGGCGTCGCATTGTAAGGACCCAGAGTGCATATGTTCAAAGGATAGATGCGCTCGTTTGTTGCAGTCGCTTGTCATTTTATAGGTTTGTTTGCCTGCCGATCCGACGACATTTGTAGGTGCTTTTATTAGCCACTATGTGGCATGTGGAACCGGAGAGTTATGGCCCAGCCTGTGAGCCATTATGATTTGTTTTTGCGGTTTTCAATGCTGCAAAAGAAAAATCAAGGATTTGGCATAGGAAATACAGAGAGAGAGTTTGAAGGGAATATATATATATATTATACTAATGATATTTACTCGCCTCAGTTCTCATTTAATTCCGCTTGATTAAAGTTCCCTCTTCCTCTCGCAATTAATTGAATTAGACGCCCCGATAAGGCCTTTCTTTCATTTTATTTGTGTGTGTGCGACCCCTACCACGATCTCTCGTATAATTATAATCCAATAAAATAATAAACATATCGCCTCGTTCATCGTTCAATTTACTTTCACACTTTCACCAGAGGGGCGAGCAGAAGAAGTTTTCCTTGTGTCACGCCAACTTAACTAAATTAAGCCCCACAGCAAGCACTGTAGAGTAAGGGGGGGAAAAAAAGAAAAGCTATATACACTCGATCCCACCACCATTCGCACTTTTCTCAATTGTTTTTTCGTTATTGCTTTCCGTTATTATATTTTGATAACATGATTTTGTTTACACGACAAATACTCACGTAGCAATGTTTTATTGTTATTGTTTTGTGATACCAAGCTCTCTCACCTCTTTACCCACCCCATCGTTTTGTTTTCCATTTTCCACTCGACTGGAGCTTTTCTATTAGTCAGAATTGTGGCTTGGCCACGTACCTAGAGACCCTCTGTACTCAGACTTTTCCCCGATTTCCCAACACGTACCTGGGGGCCACAAATTTTCACATTAAAAACCTAAAAGGCCGATGCATAAATGATTGATATCAAGTTGATGTTATCATACGGGAAGGGGGTTAAAGGTGAGCACTTCCGTTGCTCACTCACTAGACTTGAGCAATTCATTCACATCTACCCATATCCATATCCATATCCACATCCATTCATTCATAAACACGAATTATAGTTTATTGTCGTCGTAAAAACGCTCGCTTGTCCGGTCGTCATCAGGTTAAGGCAGTTGCCATTTGGCACACCTTTTGCCTGATCACTACTTATTTACAGTCCGCAAAAGCCTTCGATTAGCCAAATTGACTAGTTGCGTTCGAGCATAAGGAACTCAGTCAGTCATTCAGTCATTATCCAGCCATTCGGATGGCTCCTCGATGGATAAGTCTTTCATTCATTAAGAAACTTGAGGCGTCTGTTGTCGTCTCCAAACGGCCAGACATTCGGTTTCCGCTGTGTGCCACATTATTCTTCTCCCCAACCTATGGACTCCAACAGGGGTATTCACTATAAGAAACTGGGGAATATATTATGCATAAATATATATTTTGTATAAATTTACGAAGTACTAAAAAGGAAAGACAACATAAGTAAAAGCTTGACTGATAACATATAGTGCATTTTTTGTTAGACAATAAGTTAGCAGGCTCTTTATACAGTTATTTCCACTTTGTAAACTTTTCATTGATCAGACTCGAGTGTCTCTGAATTCAGACTTGAGAATTATAGTGCACACTTTGCAATAAATTAGAAGGGAAAGCACTAAGTTCTACCTCAGTTTTATCAAGTATAATATAGAATATGAATATATAGAACTTATACCTATAATATTTTGGAACTAAAAATATATAATTATTCCCCATTTCAATATAGATTATAGCTATTATATAGATATTTCTCTGTACTTCGATTTTGTCCATATATTTCAACATACATATATTAATTGATATTGTTTTCGTGTAGCTTAAAGAAGGGGGAACGAGGAGACAGGGGAGAGGGGAGAGGCTGGCAGAGAGACCCCACATTGCTGTGGAGCAACGTTATGTGAATTTCAATTTGCTGGTGTGGGCTTTCTTACGTTACTTTTGCGTTACGTAGTTGTAGCTGCTGCTGACGCGTTTCCAGCAACGTGACAACGCATGAAAGAAGGAATGGCTAAGCGAACACTTTTTTTGTTGCTTGTTTGTTTGTATTATATTTTTTTGTGACGCACATTTAAGCGGAATCCATGGGGTCCTGCGGGTCAGAAGGACGACGTCGTCGTTTTCACAGCACCTGCCCCGGAATCGCATCCGTATCCGCCGCATCCTGTGCTGCATCCTTTATGGTGCACTTGCTGCGCTGCGGGAGTTACGTATAAAAAAAAGGAAAGGGAAAAGGGAAAGGGGAAAAAATAATAAATAAAATTGTAGAAGCATACAAAATGCTGCCGCCGGCCATTCTCCTGTTGTTATTCCAAGTCCAAGGAACAACAAGGGCGGTTCGCTTTGATAAGCTTCCGTTAAAGCCAGGACATGTGGTTTTCTTTAGTGTTACTTTTGTGGCCATTTAAATGCTCCTTCTCCTTCTCCTGGTCCAACTACTGCTGCATTCCGAATGAATGTCACATGGAAATGGAAAGGAATCTCACAACTTTTATACGGCAATCAAACTACAATACGCTTAACTTTTATTGAGTTTCTGGAACGAAAATAATTAAAAGAGTAAATGATTGTTGTTTGTGAAATGAAGCAAAGTCGTAAAAAAACTGTTCCTCAACAAGAACTTTCCTTTTGCCCATAAGTACAAGTAATGTTCCAAAGGCCAAATCAGATTCCGGATTATTGTATTGCATTTGTATGCATCGCACATAGCGACTTTTCAGCACCTAAAACGCTCAAGTAGATAGGCCATTCATCATTCAGAATAAATCCCAACTAATCGCCACACATCACGTTTCACCATAAGAATGCCAATGCCCTCTATGGGTAACTTTTGGCTAACGATTCTTTTTCATGAAATTTGCAAATCGTTTGGCCATTCAAAAGTTTGTATTTTCGTTGTGTTTTCTTTTCTTCTTCTTCTTTTTTTTACCGTATTTAAGCGAAAAATCGAAAAGTTGTCGATTTGTGCAAGGAAAACTGTTGGTGGTGGTGCGAGTGTGACAATTTTCTCATGTGTGTGTTTGCGTGGGTGGGGGAAAATGAAAGAGAAAATTTAATTTGCAGGTCACGTAATGTGCTGGTGTGTATGTGTGTGTCAAGTTTGTCAAGTGTCTGTGTGTTAGTTAATAAATATGCGCGCACGCGATGTAAAAATATGTAAATCCAGAGCCAAAAGCATATACACATATGAAGAATCGAGTTTCGGGTTCTATTTGCCTTCTGTTTTTTCGCAATTTACCGTTATGAGACCGCTGTTGTTTCGGCTGTGACCCAAAAAGAAAAATATATATAATATATAAACATAACATTATGGTTGTAAGTAATTCGCTAGGGAATATAGCGTCAATCAATAGGGAATAGGAAGGGAGAAGGAATTACATCAAGGCAAGAGGAGGAACTTCAAAGCGTTCAAAGGGGGGAATTGATTGCAACTTATACAACAAATATGAAATAATTTTTACATAAAATAATTAAGTTAGAAAGATAAGTGTTGAAATGCACACAAAAGTAGGCAATAAAAATGATTGTTGTAATATGTTGAAGCAATATTTTATAGCACAAAGGATTTTATAGCATAACTTTTTAATTCATCTGATCAGTCCGTTTTTCTGCTACCAAATGATATTCTCTAGTTAAAGTTATGAGAACTTTTCTCCCAATTTATCATCAGTTATTTACTAGTAGAGATTTGGTTAAGCAAATTACTTCTCTTTGAATCTCAAAAACAGGTGAATCCTTCTTTGAATTAAATATTTTAAACATTTCCTAACTTATAAATGTATATTTTTAAAGTTACCAAAGTGGCATCTTTAAGCATCTAAGTAGCCCTAAAAAAGAGCAGGCCCGGCCCTATGATTTTGGCCAAACGATAAGGGGAATGGCTTACAGTCCTGCCAAGCTTTCGCTCGTCCTGGGCTTCTTCCTTCCTTCAAGCATTTCTCCATCAACGTTTCCTTGCACTTTTTTCGGTGGCATACTTTTTGGGTTATTAATGTTAAAGTTTTTGTTGCTGTTTATGCTTTTTGCCGTCCTATCTGGCGTTGCTTTTATCATTAACTTTATGCAAAAAGTTTTAGTCTTGCTCTTTTTTTCGAGGGAGTGTTGTTGTTTTTTTCCTGTTTAGTTAAGGATGCTGAGGGGAGGCAGGAGCATCATTTTACAAACGACAAATAGTTTTGGCTCACCGAAGCTGGCCATATGGCAGGCAGGTAGGTCCATTGTGGCCCATAGTGCTGTTGTTATTGCTCTTACCTTTGGCACACTTCCCTAATGCATCCATCCATCCACTCCGTCTCTCTCCTTGCAGTTCAATTACCTCATGCAGTTTGATTATCTGCCCAAGTCCGACCTGGAAACGGGTGCCCTGCGCACCGAGCAGCAGCTGATAGATGCCGTCCGTAGTCTTCAGGTAAGAGCAGCCGCCGCCATTCTTGGCTAGCGCCATTATTATGCACAATTTCACAACTAACATTACCGGGGGTCTGTGTCTGTCTCTCTGCAGTCTTTTGGCAACATTCCAGTCACTGGCAAAATCGACTCGGCAACGGCCAGGCTAATACAGCAACCACGATGCGGCGTGGGTGACAAGAAGTATGCGTATAGTTTCTCACCGGATAATCTAGACCATGACGTGGTCTATACCAGAGTGCGACGATATGTTCTCCAGGGACCCAAGTGGGATAAAACGGATCTAACATGGAGGTGAGTCCTTGGGATTATAAGAATACTAATAGATCTAAGATGGGTTAGGGAAAGGGTTAAGGATCGGGATCTACAAAACAACAATTTAAATTAACTCTCTTCAAAACGAACTCTTTAAAATACTTCATACAAAATACTATAAGCTTTTCTTTCTATAAAAACTGCTTTCATGTTTAAATACTTTTTGCCTCCGAAATTTTTTCCAATTAAATCAAGGATGCTTCCAATCCTGAACCCAGCTCCCTTTTTGTTTTGCACCCTTGGAGAACTGGAACCCTTACCCCATGCCGCTTTGCATTCCGTTTTCTCTTCCCCTTCCCCCTGTGGATGTTCATTTCAATTAAACTGCATGCAGTTCATTAATTTTGCAGCGTTCATTTAGATGCGAATTTATAATTTTACAAGGCGAGAAGGAGAACGCTCCTTGGATCCTTGGATCCCCCCCATCCTGTGTCCTGTGCATACGCGCTGTCAATTAATTCAAAACTCAAACGTTGCGTAGCTTGTTAATTTTTATTACGGCCATTGCACTTGCCCCCAGAATGGTATTGCATAATTTTGATGTCCAAGCTTGTTTTTTATGTAAAACAATTCAGTGTTTTCTGGGAGGAAAACATTCCGGTTACCAAGATGTTAATGTTCGCTGACCTCCTGGGCAGCAAAAAGTTGTTCCTTAAAGCGATGGGTGGCTCTCTGGTGGTGGTGGCTTTCATTAAACACTTTGCGCCAAATTGAATTTTATGATGAGCCGAAACGAAGGCGCTTGGTGGTGCGGCTGCTGTTGCTGTTCTCCTTTGCCCTGATTGCAGCTGTCACTTTTAGTGTTGTATTTGATTTTTAATGTGCGCAGCTGCATAATTGCGCTTGAAATATTAAACGGGCAGTTGGCGAACTCTCATCTCATCTCATCTCGTCGCTAGCTCTGATTAAGAAGCAGCTCTTCCTGCTATCTCATTATGGAATCTTGCAATTAAATTTGCATGGCTGCTGCTGCTTCTGTTGTTGCATACTTTCAGGCGGCACTGGAAAAGTGGAAAGCTTCCAGCACATTGCACATACGCCGTGTGGCACTTAAAGTTGAGCTCACAGCTCGGAGTGCTCAGTTCTCAGTTCTCAGTTCTCAGCTCCCAGCTTGCAGCTTTTAGCTCACAGCTCGGTTCATCGGGGTTCATGCAGCGATAGCTATTTAATTATTTCTTGTGTCGTCTACCCTTAATTGGCCATTAAGTGGCAGGCGACCAAAAAGAGGGGGGAGAGAGCACGCAGGACAATATTGCGACTAAATTAAAGCATTACGCAGTATCCAGGATCACAGCGGTGGCTGCGCTGGCCTTAAATTGACTTTACTTGATATATATATATATACATTTGTATATGTACTGGCCGATATCAATATGTATTGACCTGCTTTTCGGCCTAGCTGCATGTGTTCTCCTTAATTGCAACACAAAAGCAAAATGAGGCAAGCTTTTGCGGAGATGAGATGGAAATGGTTCTCCCTCTCTCTCTGTGTGTGTGTGTGTGTGTGTGCTTGGAAGTGTTTTTCCATTTCCGCTCAGCATGGTAAGTCTGGCGCGGAAGTCGTTCTTAGCAGTTTTGTACTCATTTTGTTTTCACCGCATTTTCACGAGAGAAACACACAATGACAACATCCTGCCACAAAGTTGTCGCCATCACAAAATTCCTGAGATATTAACTGTTGGAATTGCTAGTTCAATACACCGAAAAATGGAAATTGAAGTAATACCAGAAAGTAATGATGTGCAGAATTAAAAATTATTTAAAAATAAAAGGAAAGGAAAGGTATATCAAGATTAGTATTATCTACAGAAATTGTCTTGAGAATTAGGTTTAAACTATCAAAAAGAGAAAATAAAAACCGAAAATGCTCTTTAGAAATATGTTGAAACAATTAAACAATCGAAAAACGGCACACCGTTTTAGTTATCTTAATTTAATCCAAATAAACCAGATCTGAACCATAATGTTTTAACTAAAGAACAGTGCAGCAAAGCCTAAAAGATATATTTATTTCGATTTCGATTCGATCAAATGCTCAACAGAAGCTTGCCGAAACTAGATTTGTATATTTATATTTCCCATAGATTAAAACCTAAATTATTTTAGCTTTATTTAAACCTAATTAAATCCTTATAATTCTCCGTGTAAAGTCAAAATCAAGTGACAGCAGCAGTTTCAGCGGAAGTGACCAAAAACTTGCACTTTGCGCAATTGTTTTAAACTAAATTGGCAATTGTTGTGCAGCTAAGGAAACCGAAAGGGGAGAAAATCTTTGTTTGGCAAGGGCAATAGTCGTAATGTGGCATTTACTTGGCTACAAGTAAAGTTTCCCTAGTCTTAGCCCCCTTTATGATGTCACTTTTCCTCCCAAATTAAATCCGTCTTAATTAATGCAGTTTTGGGTGACTCCTCAAAGGGTTGTAGCTACGTTTTTCATTACTTGTTTTTTCTTGCTCTTTCATTTTCCATTTCCCGCTTAATGCATCGGCAAACAATTGTCCAGCCAGGAAATGTGTCAATAAAAGGACCTTCGCACCTGTTGCTCTGGCTCTGGCCTCTCCGTACTTACCTTTTGTTCTAGCTCAAATTGGTCTCCACTTCATTCTATTTTTTTCTAGACTTACTCTGGAAATTGTTAAAAAATTCTTGAAATATTGCAAAAAGGTAAAAGTTTCCAGGGGGAGAGAACTGCAGAGAATGCTGGCTTAATTTGCCGGGCAATTGAGTGAGTTCATTTTAGCCAGTTTTGCTGCAGTTTTCCTGGTCTCCCAGCTAACGGCTTTCTCTCTATTAGCGCAACATTGTACTATATAAGTGTGTGGTCAAGGACCAAAACCATTAATTGCCCGTTTTTGTGGCATTAATAAACCGCAGCGAATGTGCATTGCGCACTTGCCGAGCATTTGTTAGATTTTTAATAACATTAATAAAGTGCACAATGAAGTCAAAAGGAGTGCAGATTGCGGCGTGCCGTGCCGTACGAGTCCTTAACACGCAACAAGGACTCGTCTTCCTTTGCGTTTATGCTTATTAGCGTGCATGCGAGCCATTAATACTGGGGCTGCACTGAGAGAAATGTGGGTGGTTGAGCCGCAGAGGAGAGCACGTGGCGTGGCAACCTCTTAGCCGCTGCCACATAAAGAGACTACGTGGACGGATACTGATGCCTTGTGGCAAATGTCATAAAAACTATGCTCCTCATGTATCGGTCGGGGAAAAGGACCTTCCAAAGGCGCCATCATGTTGGCCATGTTACAATGATAAAAAGTAATTTTATGACGGCCACTCTCTCTCTTAACCACAAGCCAACAAAAGAAAAGAAAGAAAAGAAAAGGACTGAATCCTTGGCCAGCAGCTTGGTTGCAGCTTCACCTCGAGTTGCACTTATTGGTCGTGCTTGCAGGACATTGTGTCCTTGGCCAGTTGGGGCAAAGCTTTTAACCAACATTGGTCTCTTACCGGAAACTCGAGCTCCACAAACTCCAGATCGAGTTTAGATCGGTGGTTAAGGGAGTGCATTACTTTGAGCTTTATACTTTTAGTCAATTTACTCTAAAATTTTGTTAGGAAAAGTGTCCTTAAATTATGTTTTTTTAATATTTAAAAAGGGAAAGTACATGACAAGCATTAAAGAAGATAAATTGTCGTAATGTTGCCTTGAACATGATTTATTTAATATTTAAAATACTTTCTGTAAAGTAAAACATTTAAAAAAATCTATTAAATTCCCTTTTCGATTTGTAATTTATAAATTAATTTATCACAAATCTAAAAGCTTTATTGTTTCTTTCCCTAGTTAAATTTTGCACCCATTTATGAGGGCCAAAAACCAAGATTTAAATGTCGTTTGCCACAGCTGTTGCTGGCAAAAATCATTAGTGAATGCTGGCCAAAATAAGGGGCAGAGAGGAGGGAGAGGTCGTTTTTGGCTAAATCAATTTTGGATGGTAGCAAAACCATAACAAAATTGTGGTCAGTGGCCTGGGCCAAGTCCCTGAAATGGAAGATATCGGGTTACGTTATGTTACCCCATCTCCCAGGCCGTCGTCTCCTATAATCCCCTTTATTTATAGGAGAATTTTTTTTAACGATTTTTAATTTGCATAAAATAATTTGCTGATCAACGCCAGCGTATGCTTTTCCCCATCATAATTTATTCGCCAGGCGGAGTAAATCACACGCACCAGCGAAAGTGCAAGCGAGGGCGGGCGAGAAACTGAGGCAGCGAGAGGCATTTAATGCCGCAAACAGAAAATGGCAATAGTTTTATGCTGTTTCAGCTTCTGTTGCTGCTGCTGCTGCTGTTTATTTTGCAGCAGTCACTTTCAGAATTGCCCTTACTGCACATTGTCCTTTCATCCTCCTCATCTCTGCTTTCTCTTGCTGTTTTCTCCACTCCTCAATCCATCCCGCAGTGCATTTTTTGGGGGGACAAGGCAACATCCAAGGGCTAATGGGCGTCCATTGGCCATAGTTTTCTGACTTTTCGTATGCTGTCAAGTGCTCGGCACTCGAAATTATTATCTGCCATTAATCATGGCCATAATGTTTGCCAGCTATAAAATGGAGCAAGTGCAGCCAGAACAGCAGTATGCCAGCGAAACGGACTGTACACAGTGGCTGCTGGCAGTAAGCAACTGCAGGCTATAATTTCGAGGGTAGATTAAAGGATAAACCGAGGGAAAGTTTGTATTAAACACTTAAAGTGATCATTAGCTGCAGGATAATTACATGTAAATGGTATATTTCCGAAAAAATAAAGGTATTGAAACAAGTGAATGTCCAATCCCTAACCTAACATAATATTTCACAAGATTTCAAATATCATAAGGGACTTTTGAATAGAATCCCAATTTAATCAATTGATTTATTAAAAACGTTTGTATCAAAACATATACAAACAATAATTATTTGGAATAGGTATTATTATACTTGTAGCGTCAGGATATGAAATAAAAAATAGAAACAAATCAAAAGTT